TTGCTTTATGTAATTACTACACAAGTTACGAATCCCTAATTGTGCTTGTCTAGTATCAACCATTATTAAACCGGGTCACAACTGAAATTTGACATAATATCAACGTTAAAATACTACAGTACTTCTTTTCTAAATGTTGTCTTGAATCTTAAATTCTTAGTTTTTTTTTCTGTGAAGTTCCTGGGAAAATTCTCGGAGTGTTGCGAAATGGGAATACCGTGTTGAAGACGGTTCTGCGATTGGTATTCCGAACGACGACCGGCGGTATGTTAATATGTGAGAAGTTTTGAATAGGAGAATTTATCAAACGGACCACCAAAAAGCCGAAATCGAATTAGTTGAAATAAGTGAAATAGTTCCGAGAACAAACGTTTTTTAATGATCTGTTTTTGGGTTGCGACGAAAAAAACACGCGAAGATGAAGACGGAGATGAGCACAAAAAGTTGTCGCTTTCAATGCGGATGGTGAAATTAGTAAACTGTTTTTTGTTGCGTTTTGTATTATTGGTGTATGTCCTACATTGGTCCATAATTACCATTAATTTCACATAACAAAGTCTGCTTTTTTATTTAATGTTAGTGTTGAACAAAAATGAGTGAAATACCCCAAAAAGCCACTAGTAGATAAAAGCCTGTAGCCTCCATCAGTTCCCCTAAGATTACCACTACCAAAGCACTTTCTTATAGGAAGCTATAGATTAATTTATGTTTATGAACAAAAATGTCCAGAATATGCGTTATTCAACAACAACATCAAAATTGATAACCACGTTAACGTGTTAATAAATAAATTCGTGTTTGTCCCAGTGACTTTATTACAAGATACAAATACGATATTGTTGATTCAACAGTTACTGACATCTTTATCTTGGTAAAACATTTCGTTTTAATTTCAATATTTGCTTTTGCGGCGCTGTTAGTTTTTAACAGCTTCACCGCATATTTCCCTCTGGCTCGTAAAAAATTAGAGATTAATCGCGGGGAAAGGATTTTCCTACCGCAAACACCTAAGCAGTAATATTCATCGAAATTTACCTATCTGCAACTTTGTAATATCTATAATTACTTCATTAGGTATATTCATTCTACTAGATAATAAAATAATCATAAATTGTTATTCAAATGAAGTCATAAGTAATCGGTTTTTGGTCATTTTTAAAATTAATTGCGACTATTATCTTCTCGCATTTATTATTACTATTGTGAGTTTCTTATGTTGTAAGTTAAAGCAAAAGTATGTTAAATTTACTAAACACGATTTAATTTAAAAAAACTAACGTGGAAATTTGTTCAAAGATTAAGAGTATGTACTTATGTAAAATGCTTTTATTTATACAACAAATGTATTTGCTTAGGGGAATTACGAAATGTTAATTTAGAATGTAGCAATTCAATAACACATCAAAAAGTTTATTTTAATCGTATTTGGCATTATTTCTTCGAGAGAAAAATGTTTTTTTTCGAAATCGGTCAACAGAAATCGATATTTCTCCAACACCCCATTTTTGTGATGCCAATGTTTTCTTGAGGAGATGAGCGTGAGAATCGAAATATCAATATAAACATTGGCCCGTTTGTTTAAAGAACACTGAAAAACCTGCTGTACCAGACAAAAGACAAATAATGTTTACACACCGCGTCGTTTTGTTTCAGTTAAGTCATTCTATTCTTTCGCCTTTCGATTTTCTCTTTAATATGGAACAATTTACATCTCGCTTACATAATTAATTACTATCAGTCAATTGAATGGGATTATTGGTTGGAAAAATAGTTGGAGTATTTGCTGGCAGATTCTAAATAGCCTTTAGTGATTTGATTATAAAAGTGTCTCAATAATTTTTTTATAAAATCGTGATAATTTTGCATGTTTGATAAGGAAAAATGGAGTTATGAATGGATGAAACTTTGACCGTGACCACGAAAACGTCTCGGTGCGTCCGGCGACTTTCGCTCGAAAGAAAAGTGAGTGGCTACTACGCCCAGTAACGTTCCCATAATTTTTCCAAAGGTCACGGGCGATTTTTCGCTTCCACCTTTTCTTTTATTTTCCCTATGCACAAATATCGAACGTCATAATTATTTATTATTTTATTGTGCGATGCGTGCACGCTCACTCGCTAACAATGGTTCGCATTGTCGGCAATCGTACAGGAAAATTATTTTCTTCTCCTTTTCATAACAATAGGGCCCTTGTCGTATGCTAATGTACGAGCCGAAAGTGGACTTGTACTTTATGCGCTCGGTGTGTACCTTTTTAATTTCACTTCGAATGAACAGCCTCTCTTGAATTATTGGATATACATTTTTTACTGCTTTTAATACTGCACTTTATGAGTATAAATTGAGCTCGGAGTGTATTTGAAAGTAGAAAAGTTCACAATTTTGGGTTATAATGGGGTATATTTGCCGTTTAAAAGGGCAATTGACTAACAAATTAGTAGTAGCTTTTCCTAAAACACGTCCCTATTCAAAGAAAATGTATCTAAAGAACTTAACACTGACGCTCGGCCATTGTTCAGGATTTGTACAAAGAAACAAAACGTTAAAACACTTTGTGCCAATATTTGAGCGCAGGCTGTAATTTTTCTCTCCATTGTACGGGCATTGTTAGTCGACCATTCAGATATTATCACACGAATCAATACTCACAACAATTAGACTACTGTGCTCTCGGCGGGAGTTAATTAATTTGTCAACAGCCCGTTAATATATTCCACGATAATTGCCGGATTTTTGAAAAAGTTGCGTGTATGCGTTTAGTGTCGAAATTTCCTAGAAAAATCACGCCTGAAACCAAACTAATTAGACGAGAGAAATCATACTATATAACTGATGTAAATATTCAAACATTTCACTTAATATTTCTCCAACAAACTATCTGTGTACACATCGCAAAGATCAATAACTTTTCGGGATCATCTCCAGAAAGAATTCCTTACATGATTCATTCCGATTATCTTTTTTCGCGTTGTACCTGCGAAAAAAATAACGTATCTCATCCGAAATATGTGTACGTGGGAGGGCCCGCAGCAGAAAACGATTTATTTGAATATCATAAAAGTGTTATAGTTGACATTTTTTTCTCAATCAGACGCTGATACGGTGCGTTATTAATGTTTAGACTTGCACCGAGGAATTCTATACCCATATATCGCCCGTTGGACGATTTCTCTTTCGTTCTTTGAATCGAATCGTCTCTCGAACGGACACCGAGACCGCAGTGGCGCGGCTCTCCTACCTTTCTCTTGCAATTTAATTAATCGCAGGATCCATTATCCTTATGATTTTCTTCTTAAAAAGATTCAAATCTTTATAGACTATACATAGAAGTTTACACACACCCTGTGGAGTTTGTTATTCAATCATTTATTACAGTTTTTGCGAACTTACGTAAAAATAACGTTACGTTATTTTCAACAGGATTTTTAACGCAAACTCAATTTGCAATAAAACAAACAACGACAAAATAAACAAATTCTCATACAGTATAATTATTCTAAAAAGTTATGTTATTTCACGTACGTCAGTGGGAATGATTAAAAATTGCTGATGCCCACAAAACTGCTGATAAACCAGTCGAAACCGAGCGAATGAGGGTGGGTTAACGCATCGTTTGAACGATAAAAATACATTAACAATTAACGTTTCCGGGATTCATCCCGAATGCAAATATTTTTCGTAACGAAACTTTCGAGCACGCCTTCAGTATACTATCCTTTCGTCACGATCGCGAACGCAACTCTAAAAACATTGTTTCGTTAATGGTATATCATTTTCAATTTAACTTTTAACATATTAAACGTGTAACGCCATGGGCCGGGCACCGAGAATCTCGAATTTCGTTGCGCAAACTTCTTAATGCAGAAATTATTTTATGGAAGAAACGACATGTTAAAGTTCAATTCCATCGCTCACATTCGATAACAACGTTACGTAAATTTGACGTACGTCATTACGTACGTCAAATTGTGACATGTACTTTATTTACATACAACATTTTATTAGTTATAATAATCTAAATTGTACTAATGTGGGTAGCAAAACATTTTCATAATCATTGGAACACCTCTAAACAATATTTCTAATTACTGTCGTTAATTTAAAAGATAATAAAATCTGATAAAATATATGTGTCGATATTTTATTAATGTCACTTTTTATCACCAATAAAGTATTATTTATATATCGCAGGGAATTTGCGACATTTGCATCAACGATATAACGACTAGCTCTAAAAGGAAAACAATTAAAAAATTTAACTAATGCACGAGCAAATTACCTTTAATTAGATACTATGCAAATCGTGAGATTTTTTACATGCACACAATTTGCACTATCAGTGTTTAAGACGATAAATACAAATGACTGTCAATTGAATATTAAAAAATAAAAATTAACACCAATTATTATTAATTATCTTAAATTTCCCATAATATTTTTATTTATTTAAAAATTTATGTAATCTCAGGCGTAATGACAAAATCAACATGCAAATATGCAACTTGTCCTTTCAAATCTACTGCCTATAAATCACAATCACCTTTATTAACAATCATTAAAACTTTTATTAACCTCAGTGACAAAAACAGCTTTTAATATTCTAATAAGAAATCGTTTGCGAGAGTTATTAAAGCAAATTACGCGAAAAATAACTATTTGTTGTCATGTCGTATGTGCTAATTGTAAATTTAATATCCAAACGATTTATTTATAGAATATTGTTTGTTGATGTTTATACCGACATTATGCACACACTTCCTACAATGTATTGCGATTTGCTTTATGCGAGTTTTCCCAAACACTTCACAATTTTTTACGAGCTTGCGGAGCAAGCCAGAGATAATATACTTTGATGAATTTGACGTTTACTATTCTGTTTTTCGGTTAATGCTAAGGCAAATTTTTGTTCGATAAAAATCATTAATGTAGATCCTTAAAAATTAAGTTACCGAAGCGTTGAACGTGTTAAAAAAAAATTAAAGAAAAATGTGCGAGCTCACCTGCGTCATTAATCTGTCGGCGCCGGTTCCTTCTTCGTCCTTAAAAATAATATCGTCGTTGTAATTGGGCACTAAATCGTTGAACCTGGTGTCGTTCCTGTCGATCCTGCCCTCGGCCGCCCCGCTGGCGGTGAGCGTGTTCTCCGGCACGTTGGGAACGTGCTGCTTGAACACCAAGGGCGTAAGTTTCCGGGAGCCTCTCCGTCGGCCGACGCCGCGGCCCGGCCCGCAGGACTCCGCCACGAAGAAGGCGCCCACGAACAGTACCAAAGCGCTCCACTTCATCTTCGAGAAAAAGTAGCGAACGTTCGAACGACAAAAGAAAATCCCAGTTTTTCACCTGTTGAAACGCTCGAAATTACGCAAAATCATCGTTGAATAAATTTACACCGCGTGCGCCGGTCGAAATCACATTTCGGTTTTTCCCGGCGGAGTTTGGTGGATATTGTGGTACCGAGCCGTGTTGGGGAGATGCGAACTAAGTAGTACCCACGAACTTGACTATTAGTACTTGTGCCATCTTTCTGTATTTGCACTCGTGGTGGCTAAGGAGACAACTGCAGTTACGATAGCACTCGGCCCCACCACCGGGGCATCTTGGCCATCTTCCAGTGACTCGCCGGCTATTGGTGAGAGGGAGGGGCTCACCGCCGGGGCCGAAGAATTCTTCGGCTCGCAAATCATCAGGTGCCGGCGAGATGTTCCTCCGGTGCTCGGATCTTTCGTTTTCTTTTTTTTTTCTTTTTTTTTGTTGGTCTTTCGGTTCTACACTTTATCTGGAATATATAGAGTCTTTTGTTAAACGGGGTCACTGGAACTTTGACTCTTACATTCGGCTTTTTTTCTGTGTATGTTTCGAAAGCAAAAGCCGTCGAAGATGTGTAAAGGTCAATTTCAAGAGATTAGTACTTCGATCAATATTGATTTTGTGATAGAAGCCAATATCAATTCGTTTTTGATTTTATATTTATCCGTTCATTTCCAGAAAACTATGAATGTTATGAATCCTTCAGTAGCAGACGAAGAACGAACTAACCAAGATGAAATCCACAATAAACTATTGTAAGTATAAAGTACACCCACTTGAAATACTATATTTCTATACTTACTAATTATATTTAGATGATAACTGTCTTCTAGATACTTCACTACAGAATATCTACTTATGCTCTATTTATGAACGTATTGATAAATATTTTCAATTTAAGGGGATTTTTTATAAAAAAATTGAAGAAAAATTCAAATACAATTCCTCATTGATAAAATAACTGATAAAATTTTCTTGTGTCAATACGTAATTGTATACAAGACGTTAACATCCTACATTTATTTACCTAAAATACAGAGTTCAAGTATCGATAAAATCGTATAAGCATATTGTTTATTCCGGAAATCGTAAGTATTATTAGGCTTAGGTAAAAAATACATAAGATTAATAAAGACTTATAAATAGAGTAGCCAAATAAATTTGACATGATCTTAGCAAAAAGCCGATAAGATATTTTATCATTGGAAATCGTGCATCGGATGATTTTGGACATTTTAGGGATTTTTTTTAATATAGCAAAGATAAGGTTTAGAGCAAACACAGGCACACTTATGTTTGAACCAAAATATTAAAGAATGTTTACAAAAGTAAACCTTAATGATCTGAGAAATCAGTCGAAACAAATTTACAATAAGGATATACATTTATTATCTAATTTTATTATAATTTACTTACTTGCAGAAAATTAACAAAATCACTCAAGAACATTAGTAAACGCACTACCATACGATTGAGATTAGTTTCTGATCCTATAGGTATTAAATTGATAAGATTCCAGATGTTCATCAATTTATTTCATTTTTATTGCCTATTTTTTATTATATAAAAGATGCAACTGTTGATATACAAGTAGTGTAGTGATTCTAAAGGTTTATCAATCATTTATTTCAGGAGAAATGTCTTAAACTTTACCTCAAAAAGCAGCAAAATTAAAATTTCTCTCATTAATTTTATAAACAAATGAAAATATCTACTAAATACTTTAGTCCTTTTGTAGAATAAACTCTACATTCGCTCGATTAACAGCAACGCTCGACTGTTTTAAATTTTATCAATGGGCAACTAATAATTTGAAATCCGGTCCTGTTCGAAATATTATAAAGTGAACTTATGCAACCATTTTTACACTTCAAAGTTATTCGATCGTTTGTTATGTCAATGTCAAAAAATCGATTACTCCATTTGACATTGACAGTAATAAAGTGTTCTGTGTTGCGTCAAGTGTTCTGTGAAGACAAACAAAACAAGTAAAACAACATAACCTATCAAATTAAACATTAAATTTATTATTTTGTTTAAAAAAGGAAAGCAATTTAACTATTTCCAAAATGACTAACATGGTACATTGTCAGTTATGGATGGGAAGTGTAAGTAGCCATTACATCTCTCGGCTTTGTCTAATTCAACTCGGTTTTCAGCTGGAGCCTTATATGACTGAAACGTTTATTTTAACAGCGTTTAGAAAAATGGGCGAGAATCCTTTAAGCGTGAAAATAATGCGTAACAAATTCACCGGCGAACCGGCAGGCTATTGTTTCGTGCATTTCCAAAACGACGAAGAAGCTATCGATGCAATGCACAAGTTAAACGGCAAACCCATTCCGAACACAGCTCCTACCGTTAGATTTAGATTGAACAACGCTAGTAACACAGGACGATCGCTTATAGACAGGGAGTTTTCGGTTTGGGTCGGAGATTTGAGCCCCGATGTCGATGATTATAATCTTTACAGGGTGTTTTCTTCGAAGTACAATACAATCAAAACTGCTAAAGGTAATAACATAACATCTCATTTACGCCTTCGGTTAATTAAATGATATATGTTTTAGTGATATTGGATAATAGTGGGTTCAGTAAAGGCTATGGCTTTGTGAGGTTCGGCAGCGAAGATGAAATGAAAGACAGTTTGATATCGATGAATGGCTATATAGGCCTAGGAACAAAGGCGTTGAAAATCTGTAATGCAGTACCGAAACCGAAAGGAGCGCTAACACCTGGAACTACAACGACTAGTACCACTAGTACTACAACGGCGTCGAACGGAACTGATTACAGCCAATATTACGATCCTTCTACTTATTGGCAAAACTATGCTTCTTGGCAATCGGTTTGTTCTATTTTCTTCATTTCTATTACTAATTCTAATTATACGATTTTACGATTTCAGCAAGGATATTACGAGCAACCGGAACATCAAATGGTGCATCACGAGGGCATGAATCCTTTCGCTGAAAAGAAAGAGGACGATTTAGATCTAATAGGTACCTACTCATACTCCTTTCTATCTTAAATTTTCTATTAATATTTCATTTTTCAGAACATTCACTGCCTTTAGACGTCGACAAGATGAATCGAGATAAAATTGACGCCGATTGTAACCTGTGGGACGCATTGGAAAGTTCCAAGTGGCTTCCGTGCGATATGCTAGAAGTGGCTTGATTAAAAAAATAAACTTGTATCACTGGGGAAAATTCAAATCTACGTTCTTTGGTAAAAACTTTTAATAGCAATTGTGCATTATAAAAAATTAAATACGTTAAAAATAATTACAGTGTATAAAAAAATGGTTACAAATATTTTACAATTAAGTGTATAGGTAGGTTTAGTTATGTATAAAAAAATGTAAGTAGCTTCGTAAAAATTTCTTCAACTACAAGGATAATAGGATTTTACATATTAGCGAAATGTAATTTTTAATACTGTCATCAATGTTTTAATAAAACTTCTCACTTACGATATAAATTAATTTTGCATATTTCTCCAGAAAGACACTGGTTTTGATTTTCGAATTCAATCTTACATATAAATACTGCACATAAAACTAAACATAATACTTAAAAAAATTAGGCAAGATTTTTATTTAAGTAAATAATCACCTGGTGTCTAATAACTGTTAATGAAAAAACATAAAGCTGCACGAAAACAAATCCAATTTTAACCACATAAAATAACATAAATCTATGTTAAAATAAAGCCCGATTTCAATAAAAAATCGAACCGTCGTATTGTCGCTGCATATATCTTAACAAGATATCAATTTAATCAAAATACTTTCTACCTACTCTTAAACACAGCCGTATTCGTACCAAACGGCCGTCTCTTTCGCACTTTTACCCGGCTTCTCCTTCTCCCCGTTGGGGAGGTCCTTAGGAGGAGCCTCTTCGGTGTGCTGGGGAGCCGCCATTTTCGGCTGCTCCCCTATAATCGTGGATATTCTGTTGTACACCAACAGCGGCGGCGTGCCGGTACTCACTCTGTTATTCTGAGGCGCGGGAGACGCCGGAGCGGTATCATCCTCAGACAGGTAAACGGTACGACGGGTACCCACGGAGCCCAAACTCAGGTTCGCATCTTCAGAGAACATCTGTTCGCCTAATTAAACGCATATTTATCGAGTAATTCGGGTTATTTGTAACGTTTTTTACCTGCAACGCTGTTTCTTTGGGAGCCCAAATCTCTGTACGATGACCTCCTCATGGCCACTTCATCTCTCGGTTTGTGACCATACAAACTCCCCCCGCTCGAAACTGCTCTCTTGAATGGCTGAGGCGTCGATTCCTCGTTACTGTTATCGGTATTGTTGCCATTGGACTCTCCTCCTGAGCCCCCTTCGTTCATCAGGGTCAGCTGAGATTGGGTGAGTCTCGTCGAATCTTCGTGCCAAGATCGCCGATTCTGGAATAATCGCATAATGATTTTCGGTGCCCCTTGAAAATAGCCCAAAGACGAAATCTCCCAAGACAAAATAGCCCAAAGACAAAATCCCCCAAGACAAATAGCCCAAGGACGAAATCTCCCAAGACAATATAGCCCAAAGGCGAAATCTCCCAAGATAAATTAGCCCAAAGGTATTCAGCGCCCCATTTTAACTTTAAACACAACTTTAAGGGACTTTGTTTACGTTAAAGTGACACTTTAGAGCCACGTTTAAGTTTACAGTTGGCAATAAAGGGGCTATTTTGCCTATGGGCTACTTTATCTTGGGCTATTTTGACTGTATGATTTTCAATAGCTTATTATTTGTTTCATAGACTTACTCTCGATGGTACTTTGTTTATGATATCCGAACCGGCTTTCCTGACTCTTCTCACCAAAGTCGCGCCGAATCCTTTCCTATAATAGAGAATTCAGAATAAAATATGTGCATACTTAAACGAGTAATTTACTTTTTGGCAGAAGCGTTATCCAATTTTCTGTAATGTTCCATGATCTTCTCTTCCAATTTCTCCTTCTGCCTGCACAAATTGTTCACTTTATCCGTGTACAACTTCTCCTCGATGTGATAGTGCTCCTTGTCCTCCAACGAATGGGTAAGAAGAGAATGATATTGCGACAGTAATTGCGAGACGTGGTCCATTAGAGCCCTTCGATCGGAATCTAATGAGTGATTCATTTCGAATAACATCTAAAACGGAGTAGAATTTAGTGGGTTGATAATGAGGGGAGTAGAATTTAGTGGGTTGATAATGAGCGGAGAAGAAAACTCACGTCGCACTTTTGCTGCAATTTGGCATTTTCCAGGTCCAAACTCGCCATTTTGTACGACCTCATGTTGAGCTCGCCCTGCATCTCCGTCCGACCCAATCTCAGATTCCTGGACTCGGTCCTCAACGATTTCAACTCCTCCTGGACCGCCTTGTATTCCTGTTTGAGTCTCTCGCTGGCCGTGAACAAATTCCTGAAGTCGTCCTTCAATTTCGAGTGCTCGGCTCGCAAGTTTCCCAAGCTCTTGGCGTCGGTTTTCAGCAGCTCTTTCTCCGCGTCGATGTCTTTTAACTTGTTCTCCAACGATGCGTTTTTCTCTTTGACCGCTCGAATCTCCGATCGCAGATCCCTGGCGGTCTTCTTCAGGTTCTCCTGCTCCTTCTTGGCCTCTTCGTACTCCAAGCTCAGTTGCTCGTGCAACGTCCTGAGAGTCGCTTGGTCCAACAGCAGCGTGTCGTGCTGGGTGTTTTGGATTTGTTGCTTCTTATGCAGCTAAAACGAAATGAAAATTGCTATTTAATTATTGTAATAAACAAGTTTGTTATATCACAAAACATTCTTGTTATTTTTTTTGAAGATTTAATATTGTTATTAGGTAATTAAATCGGTAGAATCAATCATGCTGTAGATCTTCGAATGGACAATAAATAAAACTCGTAGGATTGAATTAGTAAAATACACACTTTCTTGCACTGTACTTACGAGAAGACTACGCAAGAGGTAAACTTTCTGTAATATGAAAGATTGTTTATAAAATACTCGTTTTTTCTCATCAAAATATACAAAGAACTCGCCACTATATCATCGAGAATTTATGTGTAAAAATTGGCCTATTACCTCTTCTTTTTCAGCCACCAATTGACTGTTAGCCAATTGCAGAGCGGTCTGTTGCGTTTGCAACGAGTTAATTTGCGATTTGAGCGTCGAGACGTCCACTTTGAGCGTCGCGTTTTCGTTCTGAAGAACGTCATTGGAAATTTGCAAGTTGGATATTTCCGCCAGCAGTTTTTCGCATTGATTGTTCCGCTCTTCCAAAGCCGTCAGTCTCACGACGTCCGTCTCGCAGAAACGAGCCTTCACCATAGGACCTAAAGTTTACATTAAAGTAACTAAAGTAACATTGACACTAGGGACATTTCGAAACGCGTGGAATTTACCAACAATGACGTCATTGTCATTTTAAAACGTACGAACCTTACCTATGATTTTGAACAATTCGTTATTGTCGAGAATTTTTTCCATCACAACCGAAACGTCGTTGTCCAAAATGGCGACGTTGAGGCCCAGTTTGTCGAGGTTGTTTTTCAATTTTTTGCTGGTAACCTTGGCGTTGACGAGGTCCTTTTGCAGCGTCGCGACGGTCTCGGCGTCGATGGAGGCTTGCGACGACAATTCGTGGACTTTCTGTTCGAAATCCTGCAGTTTCTCGTTTTGCGCTATCAAATCGCCGTTTTCCGTCGTCAGTCTTTTGATTTCGTTCTCTTGCTTGGCGATTTTCTCCACGCAATCGTCCAACGTGGCGTGTTTGGACTGAAACGTATACGAATTAAAATTAGCTTCCGTATTCAAATTAAAATGGGAAGTTTGAATATATAGAAATGGTTAATAATGGTGTATAATTTTCTGAGAAAACAATAATTTCCATAACTAATCGCTCTTTTCGGAGAAAAGGGCATTTACAAGGGAATAATATTTAAAGTCGGTGCCAGAGTCCAGCCACTTACAGGCTGGCAATATTGCCAAATAAATAGGGATTTGTTTAATGGCAAAGGAAAAATTCATTCATTGGCAGTTGTTCGTGTTATTATGTTGCAGTGTTATACAGTGGAAAGAAAAATATGCTCAGAAATTTGACAACAAATTTTAAAACGGAAATACTATTGTCCATTATATCTACCATGAAAATTCCAAGTTCAATATTTTTTTCAGGCGGTTGAGGGTGGAATTTTACGCTGAATATAATCATCAATAAAATGATCTAAATTTTAATAAAAAAATTCGTTACGGAAGCTAATTGTAAATGACGAATCGAACGCTTACGTACTTCCAACAGCTCCTTCAATTTGTTGACTTCTTTGAGCATGTTGGCGTTTTCCTTGTCCAGGGCCGCCTCCTTGTCTCTCATTATATTCGCGGTTTTTTCGAAATCCTTCCATTTATCGGATTCGCTTTGCAGGTGCAACAGTTGTTCGGTGATATCGCAGAGCGATTTTTCGGCATCGTCCGCTCTCTTTTTGATTGTATCGCACAAAAGTTGTATTCGTTGTTTCTCTTTGGTCACGTGATCGATGTTATTCTCCATTTCGCCGATGCGGGCTCGTTCGTTGTTCAATTCGGTGTTTTGTCGATCCAGAATAGCCTAAAACACGTAAGTTTAACGAATACATATTCAAATGTTTGCAATCTGTAAGCAATTGTAAGTTGCAATCTTCCACAATATCACTCATTCTTTTTCTTTATATGAGACGAATGGAAGTTGTCTTTGTTGCACCAATTGCATACAAATTTGCACTAAAATATACCTTTTGGGTATCCAAAGAATCCTGTAATTTCCTAGTCTCTTGAATGGCGTTTTTGAACAAATTTTCCAACTCGACGTTCTGCTGCGTTAGTCTCTCGCAATTTTCCTCCACCTTCTCGTACCGTATCGATAACTTTTTCTTCTCCTTTTCCAGTTCCAGTATCTTGCTGGCGCTTTCCAAGAAGCTGTTCTCTTTCAAAGCGTCTATGGCGGAGAGCAAACGTTTGTTTTCCAATTCCAATTTGAGAGCGCGCGCCTGCGCGTTGCTCGTCAATTGCTCGGAGAGGCTGTTGTCCCCCGAATTGGATTCCTCCTGATCGGAATCCAACGCGGTATTGGGATAATTCGATTCTTGAAGAGCCGACTTCGTTAATTGCTGAAGCTGGAGATTTTCATCTAACAGTTCCTGTATTCTTTCTTTAGCCGAATCTCTTTCCTGCAACACAATCCATTAATATTCTATACAACAATTAAACGTACAATAATTACAAGTAATATGTCGTTAATAGCTTGTTTGGCACTTAATAATTCAGCTTCGAGTTCCAATACATGATCTCCCCTTTGTCGGGCTCGGGCTAGTTGAGTTTCTAACATTTCCCTGGTTTCTAGCAGGACTTTATTGTCGTCTCGCAGTTCGTCTACTCGGACTTTGTAGAATTCCGCGTCTGCAAGGCGTTCTCTGTATCTTTGCACTTCGATTTCCAATCGATCGGCCCTTTCCACTTTCTCCCTCATCGAATCTACTTCGTCTCTATAAACCTTTGCTCTTCTAGCTTCTGTGAGTAGATCGGTATTCTGTGACAAATAAAAAGAATTAATTTAATAGAGGTATTACAGTTGGTATCGGTAGCGTACTTCTGCTTTTAATTTGGCGATTAAATTTCTTGCATGTTCTAATTCTTCTTTACATTCCACTAAAATTTCAGTCTTTTCCTCTCTAAAATCAAAACAAACTCATGAGGTATATAATTATATTTTTTTGGATTTCTACTTACAATTCTTGCCTTTGCTTCCTCATTTTAGCCTTCCAATCGGCTAATTCTACAGCCAAATGGTTCGATTCCACCTCCTGCGTATTGCAATTTTGATTGGCTCGCATGGTATTCGTTTCTTGACTCAAATCCGTCACCCATTGTTGTATTAATCTATCCCTTTCCAATGTCAAAGCCCTTATGTGGCTGTACAACTTCTGCGGTTCTTGTTCCGACCAATCGACAGTCAGAACTACACTTTGGTCATCGGTAACCTATGAAACAAGCTTTGTACAATAATCCCAAAATTGATCAGTTAGTTTTACCTTTTTAATGCAATTTACAATATCGTGCTGATCATTTATAGACAATTCCTTAATTTTGGAAATAAATAATTCTTTCGTAGGGCCTAATACTGCACAACCTAGCAATAGAAGGAGCAGCAATTTCAATTGCTCCAAAGCGACTTGTGAGGCGGGGGCTCTGCCTAAAACTACACAATCTGGTATCGAAACGAGGACTTGCCCCAATTCGTCTTCGTAAATTGTTCTAATATTTTTTACGATGGAATAGAATATTTTCGTTCTAGCTGTTGTAATACTAAGGCCTTGTAGGTTAAGAATAGAAGGCACTGGTTGTGAAGGCTCCGGATCGATTTGGAGCAAAACTTCGTTGATTGGGGCTCCGTCGAAGAACGTTTCATATACGTGTAGGGCCTCTGGTTTTTTCACGCACGTACAAAGCTAAAAAGCGACCATTTAAATACACCTCTTGAGAGTTACTGTTTAAATACCTTACCCATTTTACTAGTGGACCCGTGAGGAACTCTTCAATATCACTCGCCGAAGCTGCCATGGTTTGATTATAAGTAATAAGTCGAGTAAACTTTGAAGCGAACAGATTCTAATTCTTAGCACGTTTCTTCATGATTCAATAGATTTTTAAACAATGGATTTTATAAACAATTGTGAGACATTTCTCTTGTGTTGATTTTTTTTTCTATTGTCAACCTCAACCTGTCGTATGTCATATTTGATATTTGTATTGCCTTTATTTGTGTAGGTAACCTGCCAAAAACCATAAATGAAATAATAAGAAGATTTTTATTTTGACTTTGACATTTGACATTTAGCAATAAACATAAATAACAAAAGAAAACAAAAATATAAAAGTATATGTGAAGTAGAGGTGTAATATTTTAATCATACTTTAATTACAAATGTTCAGGTAAGTACGTTGAACTGATTCTTTATTTGCAAACCAAACAAAACTATATCAAAGATTTACGAAATTTAGCATATTTACTGTACATCGCCAATTTATAAAGTAAATATTATTATCAGTCGAGCTCATATGTTAAACGCAATATAAACGCAGAGTTTCTTTGTTCGGTTTTAGCAGTTTATTGTAGTCACTCGGTGATGACATTGAAAATTATAATCTTCCTGTCGTTATTATGGGGTATAGAGGGTTCCCATATTTTGGGAATATTTTCAACCCCCGATGTGGATCACTTCATGCTGGGTTCGAGACTAATGGAAGCGCTGGCGCAAAAAGGCCATCAAATCACCTTCGTGGCCCCTTTCACACCTGAATTTCAAAACGAAAACGTGACGACAGTTGAAATTTTACAAGAAATCGAACTACAAGAAGGTATTTATACGATAAAGCACTAAGTATGTATTATTCTTATATTTTTTTAGTGAATAAATTATACACCAACTTCATGGAACGCGTAAATATGAACTTTATAACCAGGACAATGCATATGTATAGCTCTTCTTACGACATAACAGAAGCAGTATTAACCGACTCGAAGTTTCAAGCTCTACTGCAGAATCCCAAAAAGTACGATTTGATTATAACAGAGTATTATATGAACGAGGCGTTGTTCGGGTTATCTTCTTACTTCTACGCCCCGATGATTCTACTTTCTCCTTTGCCATCATCTTCGCTGATGAACGAATTGTTCGCCAATCCAGCTCCTTCATCGTACGTTCCCAACATTCTATCGGGCCTCACAGGCCGCATGAGCTTCCCGCAGAGGCTGCACAACTTCTTCTGCAACGCTTTCAACAAGCATTACAAGTACTACTTAGCGCTACCCTGGCAGGAGTACCTGCTGAAGAAGTACATCGATAAAAATCTGAGCATAAACGAAGCCATCGAGAACGTGAATTTGATTCTTTTGAATTCCCATGCGAGCGTTACGGAGCCGGCTCCGCACACCCCGAACATGATCGAAGTGGGCGGTATGCACATGGCGCCCCCTAAACCGCTGCCTCGAGATCTGGAGAATTTCATAAGGAAATCCAGCGGGGTGGTGTATATTGCCCTCCATCCGGACCTGACTGCATCGAGTTTGGGCAGAGAGAAGGTGGCTGTTATTCTGAACGGTCTGGAGAAGTTGTCCAATTTAAACGTGGTTTGGAATATCGATGCTGACGAAGACATCGGTCCTGTACCGGAAAATGTCATGGTAGTCACGGACGTTCCTCACCAAGATGTTATTAGTGAGTATAAGCAATCCAAGTAATAGCATGAGTGTAATGCATTTTTTTAGGTCATGAAAATGTCGTGGCTTTCGTAACAGATGGGAATTTGATGAGGATATTCGAAGCTGTGTATTATGCGAAACCGATCGTGGCTATTCCGTTGGTAGACGATCAGGAATCGAACGTTGCCAAAGCAGTGGAAGATTCGTACGCTAAAGGTATATCGTTCGACGAATTGTCTGGTAAAAAAATCGACGAGCAGATAAGGGATGTGCTGAAAAACAGTTTGTAAGTGTATTAATGCAGAATGCTTGATGGCCTTCTATAATAAAGGATGTTTTAGGTATTCGTATAACGTGCTCAAGAGATCGAGGCATTTCAAAGAAAGACCTATATCGCCTATAGACGAGGCCGTTTACTGGGCTGAATACGTCATTCGTCAAGGCGACCCGAAGCATCTTCAATCGACCGGTGTTCATCTTTCGATGTTTAAACGACACATGGTGGATATAATAATTCTTCTCACCGTGATTGATATTGTGCTGTTTTTGATATTTTATTACGTTATCAAGCACATTATTCACCTCGGTTTCAAGAAGCGCTTGGAAAGAAAGTCGAGGAGATACGTGCAGTTGGAGAACGAAGCTGGTCAAAATAAGCTTTAAAATTTTTAATTCTCACACTCTTCTGTAGATTTCAGAATTTGTAGATTTAAAGTTTTTGTGATATGTATTATAGATAATTAGTTCAATTGTAGATTGTTATTAGTTGTAAAACGAGTGTATAGATTTGTTGGAATAAAAACGAATCTGGTTATAATTAACAGCTTTTATTTTGCGATTCTATTTTGTAATAATGTGTAAATATTCAACATCGTCTTTTAATAATAAAAAACACCATACAAATAAGCGATACAAATTGGCTCATTGATAATGTTGACTGAAATGAGCTCGGTCCGAAGAAAGCCAATGTCCCAATTATCTAGCTATTCGAAACTTATTGATTTAGGATAACTACGGCCCTATATTTCTAAGGTCTGGAAACAAGCCTATGATTTTGCATTAGTGCAAAACTTCAAAAATTAGTTTTTAACATTTCGAGGAGAAAATGGAGAAATACATTAACCGAAGATACTTTTTCGACAATTTTCGACCTGTGATTCCAGACCCAAGAAATATACGACTGTGAGGATAACTACTTGTTATAGTTGAAAAATTGAAATATTTAATACGAGTCTAAAAAAATCGAAGCTTAGCAAAATCTGTATAAAAAATTACCTCCTGTAGTCGACTACTTATAATTAAAGTCTATAAAAAACCGGTTAAATACGAAATAAATTTAATACAATTTTCCATCATCGAGATTGTCGCGAAATCTAGATTATTTATTAGCGTAAAGTTCTAATGGGGTCAAAAAGTATCGGGGCGATTTCAATTCCTTGCAGGATACGCGCTTGTCTTATTTGATTGGAACTTGCTCAAATTGTGTTTGAACGAGAGGATTCAAATGAATCGATACTTTTTGATTGCGAAGCAACAACTAAATACAGGCTGTTCATAAGATAGACGGAGATATTTTAGAGGGTGATTCCTTGTTAAAAAGTATGAATAAAAGTTTCTATTAACATGGGTCCGAAAATGTACAATTTTCAAAAAAAATTATTAATATATCGCCGTTTATTAAAAAACATTTAGGTACTTGATTTTGTTGAAATTTGGCAACGTTATTTGTTGTATTAAGAGGCTAATTTAGGCCTAAAATATCTCCGTCTATTTGATGAACACCCTGTATAACTTTGAAATTGTCTCTTTTTCTGAATACCCTGTTTCGATCTAATTTTGGTGAATTAGTACAACATTTTCGAGGCCAATTTGGCGCGACCGGCTACATTGCGGAACAACTAAATGGAATAAATATTTTCTCGGAAATCGAAGAAAATCCGAAAAGAGGTGATTTCTTTAGAAATAAATTAGATGCAGTTGCTGAATTTACCCCATTTAACTGCTCCCCGCTTTGTATAAAATAGTATAACACTGAAAAACCTTTTTTTTATACATAAACTTCACAAATATTTCGATAATTATAATAATACAAATATACATTTACCGCTAGTCTATGTAAATAGGCCCAAAAACAGCAAAAAAATAATTTTCTTTCAGTTCTTTCCTAGATTCGAATGGGATTTTTTAATAGTCAGTTCGTTATGGATATTGTTTGGATGTCGAAGGGAATTCCTCTGGAAAACTGGTCGTCGAATCCTCTTTTGTAGCCAAAGGAGGTATCTGGAAAAGTTTTAAATTTAAACAATGATCGCTTCATTCGAAGGAGCCATTCCGATGAAACTGTAATACGATTTGTAACTAGCCAAATTTCTCAATTGCAATGTTTCAATTCAAAACTAGCTTTATTAGAAGCTTTTAGAGTTTTCCAAATAAGTGCTTGTTTGGAAAGTGATTTTCTACTTGATTTTATTATCTCTGTAATTTTATTGGTTATATTTCAATTTCCAAACATCACTTTGAAAACTTTTCTTTTTTGATATCAAAAAGCTTTAATCGTTATAAAAATCTACATAAAAACGGTTAATTTTGAGTAGGTAAATAACAGTATCAATTCAAAAAAAGCTCAAAAATGGTGTAGCCAGCCAAATATCATTCGAGAAAAACGTGTAGCGAATCTGTGTAAAGCAAAATACTAAAATAAAATAACCTTCACGTATAAGTTGTATTAATGCAACCTATTCTGCTACTCAGCTCGGTCTGTAAAAAAACACATCAAGAAAGAAACCATAAATATCAATTTATCTATATCGTACAAAATGTAGTAGTAAAGTACCTAATACACTTTTATTATAATTTTGGTAAGAACCTACCTAAATGTTATTGGTATTTTATAATAATTTGTTGAAATTCAAAAGTAGAAGTAAAAGATCCAGAAGTAAAATAATTAAAAAGTTTACTTTCTGACAAAAAAGTACCCAGAAATCCTTATTTAAATTACCTGCACCTAATACTTTTAAGCAGTTCAGAATTTAAGTTTCCTTATAGGTAACATTGTTCTTAATTAGCATGGAAAAACTTAGAGAGATTTATCAATCAGTTTGGTTGTAGCGGCTGATTGAATCAGTTCATCTCACAATCAGTTGTGCTCAGAGGATTTTGCAATGGACAAAAATAATGAACAAAGAGTTTGTCTCATATTTTCGGTTTTGAACGGAATTTCATGATCTGAATCGATGCAAATGATTAAGGTGACTGTTTTATCGAAAACCCATCTACGATTGATACAAAACTTTTAAAGACAGTCGGGAGATCTCTAAAGACTTGCCTTGTTCCGGACTGTCTTCAACCTCTTCAACCAATGATAATAGCGAGAAAATGGTAGAAATTGAGTTCATGTTAATACTAGAGAAGGTTTTTTTGTTTCCCAAGCTCAAATTGCCACTTCAGGTGTCCCGTTTTGGCCCCATAAATGCCATTAAAGAATCGCAGAAGTAGCTAAAAGCCGTACCAAAAAGGGCCTATAAAAATGCTTCAATGATTTGAGAAGGCGTCTGACTATGTGTAGGAGCGTATACTAAACAAGAACATCCAAGAAATATTAATGAAAATTAGGAATTTTGTGTTTAATTCCAAATTTCCCAGTACTTTTTTGTCACTGTAGTAAACGGAAGATAAAACATCTAAATGAACTTAAAGAATATAGAGACTTTAGAGACTATTAGTACTACTTACCGGCCGGTCCTCTTCCAGAGTGGGTAGCAAATCGTCGGTGGAATGCGGACTGGGGGTGGGCGCGATGCGCACCGTCGAATTCGTGCCCGATAACTTGGAAAACCTCCTCTCCAGCTCGCGTTCCTCCTTCTCCTTGCGCTCCCGCTCGTATCTTCTGGCGCTGTAGCTCCGGATCGAGCTGACGCTGTGCACTGACGCTATGCTGGGCCGTCTAGAACCTGCGGAACCCACTCGCCTCCATCAAATATAAGCCTGATTGACTATCGCAAATCGTTGGAAATGTGTCGATGATGGTATAGATAATATTCTGGGTAGGTTGTGGATGAGGTTATAAGGAGCTGGGAATTGAATCATTCGGATGAAACACTGAAGACAATATTGGTTGTAGTAATAGGGATATTTTTGCAACGATTTGCGATTTTTTTAAAGAAATTAATTAGCAAAGAGCATTTTATTTACCAGATACATTATAAGTACTCCTCTTGTGCTCTTTATGAATTAATCTCGATTTCATTAGGGGTTTCCTACCAAAATTAACCACACTATATATAAATTTAAAGTATTATGAAGTATTGTAGATATTAAGTATGATATAGGGTGGTTTATTAAGAAATTTCATGCATCATGCAGGCAGGACAAATACATAAAAAACATGCATATAGTGTATATAGTGCTTAAAATTAATGCCCTTATAGGGATTTTAAATACCTATACTTTGAGGTCATATTAATTGTATCAATGAATTTATTAGTACGATTTTTTCTATATATGGGTTAATTACTCGAAACTACTCTATAAAAAACAATATAATTCATGTAATATGCGTAAATTATACTAGGTGAATCAAGTGATTCTAAAAAGTATACGACAGCGATTGTGGATATATCGTATATGCTGCTAATGTTAATATTAATCGAACTAGCAAAATGCATTGGAAATTAATCAAAATATATATTATTAAAGCCGTTTTCACTTCTGCCATCTTGCATTGTCCTCCAAGCTGTTTGCTCGTTTACTTTTAGATACAAAAACGGGCCTAATTCAAGTTACCTATAGAAACCTGGCGGGAGAGATTTCCTGGAAGTTTAGCTTTTCGAATTAGTTTACCACAAATTAACCAAACCCAACAAACAACAGCAAGTCCTTCAATCTTAAAAGAACGAAATAATACGAGATTATGTAGCAAGTACTGGAAAATAGCCATTTTTCGTTCTGTTTAGACCAAACGTGTCAAGAGCGTACCTATCGAGTGAAAAGTTTGCAGAAGATATAGAAGAAAAATGGAAGATAAGAAGGTAGTACCTAAGGCTCTGCGAGCACCCATCATTTTGGTGCCATCTTCCGATTCCCTTTACCAACATGACAGATGCGAATAGAGCTTTAGAGTCACCAAAGAAAAACAGATGATCCGATCGACCCTAACCGAATTACCAAAAAGGTACGCCCTCGTAACGAACAAATAATAATAACATCTACCTGCGTCTGTGTGACAAATAATAAAACACAAGCCAACAAAAGTACAAAAGTACCGTTGAATTTGGTATCTACGTATCGAGCGTTAGAGCGCTCTATCTCTACAGTCGGAGCGACGTTACAGTAGGAGAGCAGCAAGATGGCGGCAGCGCGGGCCGCACCTGCTCTCGAATAGACGCCGGCACCGGGCGCGGTGCGGAACCCAGGGGCGCTGCTGGAGCGCCGCGACGGCATGCTAGCGCACGTGCGTTGGCTAGAGGCGCGCGACGTCGAACTGCGTTCGATTATGGGCAATGGTAACGAGCCTGAAAATCCATCCACCCTTTTTCATATGTCACACGCACAGATAGAATTCTCGTCGTTGTAGGGTATTGACTTGGTTATGCGGTTTTATTCATTTATATATAGTTTTGTTTTTGTTGTAACAAACAAACAGTAGTTTAGTACGCGCTACTTTTACAAAAGCATTAAATAACATTTGATTAGATTTAGTGCTTTTGCATAAAGGGAGCGTACTGTAGATAGTATTTAGATATCCTACCTGGATCGCTGGAGAATAGAATGGGCGGTGGTAAATTCGCGTTGCCGAATCTGTGCCTGTTGTGTCTAGTCCCGTACAAATTCTGATTGAAGAGATGCAGTACAAAACAAATTAGTCCCGATAGTATGGCTATGCCGGACATGACGCCGGCGAACGTCGAGAAATTCGACGTTATAACCACCACATCTGCACAAAAAGAAATATAATACAAGTATAGTGTGCAACCCATTAACCACTACCACAAACTGAAGAAGATATTAATCGAGTAAGTGCGCCAAATATGGACCGGCTTTATAATATGGACCACCGCCATTTAAAAAAAAAACGTTCTTTATATCGAGTAAATGATTATCACACACTAAGCATCACTCCTTCCTTGAACCATCTGTCGCTTGCAGTGCTCCAGGATGCACTCATATATTTATTACAGCTTTTTTTAGTTTTCTGCAACGCGCGATCTAATTTTCTAGCGAACTTTGGACGTTTTTTATTCCAAAAAATGCTATTTTATGTGAAAGTGGATAAGACCACGAAGAAGGTGAGTCTCATGTTGCAATTAATTGTATTAAGTTTTAATATTCTATATTTCAATTTTCTGAAAAAAAAATAATAATCTCAAAATGAGTAAGTATCACAATATGGACCAGTGGCACATTTTAAATATGGAGTGGCTAAAAATTAATTTTTATGTTGTAGAATGGCTTCTAAAATAATGGTATTACCACCCAAAAACTTGGGAGACAATCAACATTACCGAGTGAATTGAAAGATAAATTAGTCAATTATATTTTAGAAATGGAAAAATCTGAACGTTGTCCATATTATGTTCACTTTCTGAAAGTTCATGAAAATGATGTACTTTAGAAAATGTGGTTTATTTCAAAGTTTTTGTTTTTTTGGAGAATTTTATTATGAGCTTTTCTTAACTAAATGATTATGGAATTGTTTAATATAAATAAAGCTGATTAAATTATAAAATTTTACTTTTTATTGAGAAAAGTGTGCTTATGGTGGTCCATACATGGCGCACTTTTTCTAACTATACCTTCTGCGCAGAACGTCCTTCTCGAACTTTTCGGAAGAGACACGGAATGATAACCATTTTCGCATTGGCATATCGCGTTGTGGTGCACCTGTATGCAGGATGCGTGCTGGTCAGTATATTGGCACGTCTCTTTGTAATAACATTGGTCGCCCAATCGTTTGGCTGCAATTACAAAACATTTATCGGATATCAATCGACATGGTCTAGACCAAGGATCTAGCTCAAGGTTTAAAGTTTTTGATCTTACGTTTGCTGCATCCCGCGTACGGATTCTGGAGTTTAACCGGATATTTTTTGTCGCAATCGCACTTGCCGGAGACGGGGTTGCAGTAGACGTGCGGCAATTTGGGGCTGCAAGTGAACTCGCAGAGGGCGCCCACGTATTGGCCTTTCTCATCTGAAAATTCACGAGGCATAATTTCGACCATACGCTTATATTTTAGTCATTAAACGCGCCGGAATTAAAAAAACCCCCGGATCATTCGCTACCCTCTGGAGGTTAGCGTACATATTTACCGCTGCGTACGGCTATAAAGTTAGATTAGCTGTTCGCCTACCCGGCAAATTAGCTCATGTATAATGGTCGAATTAAATGCACGTGGCGCAATCGACACGGCGGGAATTACACTATGAAAATTATTATTTTATCACCTCATTTTGTTCAGGAATTGCCTCATCGCATTCTCCCGACACCATCGGAATAAACAAGGGTATTATTAATACGCGCAGTCGACTTAACCGCATGGTTTTATCTGTATCCCGTTGTTGTTTGAAGTTACAGCAATTTAATAGCGAGAAATATCCAACTGGACTGCGCCAGTTTGGCTTACCGGAAGCGTTGCGGCCGAAGGAGTCCTCCTCCTCGTAGTAATCGGCGTAGTCGACGTGGTTGTCGTCATCGTCGGATTGGTACTTCCTGGTGAACGAGGGTCGCGTTGCCCGAGAGACGGGCGGCAAAAGGGTGACCGAGATTAGCGTGAAGCAAATCGTGTAGGAGTGTTTCATCTCCAGAGGTTTGAATCGATCGTCGGACCGGCATCGACACCAGCTAACATTGTAAATTCTGAATAAAATAAAACAACAACTACATTTTATACAGTTATTATTTATTATAGAGTTGTATCGTATTTTAGTCTCTATTAACTTATTATTTCGATGGATTCTTATTGTCTACGTTTTCTTTTGTAATCTTCTTTAAGATAATATTTCTACTTATCTTAATCTTATTTAGTTTATTCGTATTTTAATTAACAGTTTATATTACTACTAATTAATAAAATAACAAGAAAACTCACCTCGTAAAATAGCATTCATAAATTACATCGTTAAAACAATAAAATTAAGAGATAAACAAATTATTTGTAAGCATGTAAAACACAAATAAAACTCGAAGAAGACATCAGGTAACGATCAATATATTTAATACTTTTCGGCACGATTTCGCCCTTGTACATTCGCCCACGGGCGAGAAACGAATTCGCGCCCCGACGTCGATCCGGGACGCTGATATAATTACTCGCACGCGTTCTTAATTAGTATAGTGACCCTTTCCGTAAAAAAATATGCGAATTTTAATGGCACGAAATGTGTGACCTGCCGCACAAACACACACCTACGACGGGTGGAATTTATCAGGCGAAAGACGTAGACGGACGTACGTCGCAGGCGGCGTCGGCGTCGGCGTCGATGGACGTCGTTGAACTGCCCGAAGAGCGCGGGGTCGTCGCGCTCGCGTATTCGCAACCGTTTCCAGGTAAATGGGTAATCGGGCGAAACGGGATAATTTCTGTTTTATTTACATGCAGGAGAATAATTTACTGCTTGTATGATGATTAATTTGGCGGTTTTTTTACAAAATTATTGCTTATGTAGTTTGAATTATTATTTTTTGTCATTGTAGTTCTGGTAATTGTTGTTTAAATGAATCGAAAAGTTGGTAAATATGTTGGAATGACGGTAACTTCTACTGTGGAAATTACGAATTTTCTTTAAATTTTGATGAGGAATATAACAACTTTTTATAACTACAGGAGCGATAATTTAGGTACAATATCAAATACAGTTTCATAATGTCTCTAAAATCTGGTACATTCTAGATTCGATCTTCGCCTACTAACTTTATATGTAAAAAACTCATTTATTGTTGGTAAAATTATAAATAGTTGTCTTTATGATAAAAAAGAAAACAACAAATTCAAAATTTTCAAAAATAATCCAACCAAACATAGATAGCCAGGCCACACGAATCAAAGTTGCTACACAACACTTATATACAAGTCCACTAAACCCTCCATATGACTTTTGATATTTGACTTTTAATAAAAAAAGAAGAAACAAAAAACGAATTTGTTTAAAAATGGCGCCTCCGTTCCAATTGTTTCGTTTAGATTTGAATTAATCCCTGTAATTTGCGTTAAAATCGACAATTCGAAATGAGCGACGTCGAGGAATTAGATATAAACGATGGCCTCGATCATCCGCGACCTAAAGAACCCAAACCTCCAGGCCAAGAGGATATTATTATACCCGATCCGCTTAAGTCCGAACCGGTCGGGGATGATACTCTTGTAAGTACCCTTTAATCATCTCTCATTACCTCTTCAAAACCGATTTTTCTTTCAAGTTCAAGGATATGGATCGATCTGACTATCAATCTAAAGTATTCGATCGCGTGACGGTTAAAAATCTCAACAGGGGCTTCGAAAGGTACGTTCAACAGCAAAGAAGAGAATGCGAAGTAACTACTAAACTACACAAGGCGAAAGAACAGCAGGCTTTTAGAGAACAGCAATTGCAAGAAGCTAACGATTTAGCCAGAGAATTAGATGCTATCAAACGAGAGGAATTTAAGGAGCAAAAACTAAGGTATACCGTTATTTTTTTGTAACAATCAATTAGTATTGATACTTTTGCAGGCAACAATTAAGAGAAAACGCTCCGGAACTGCGTGATTTAGAAAGAAAACTAAAAGCAGCTTACATAAATAAAGTACTTGCCGCTCAAATTGCTCAAAAAGAAGCCGTAAAACTCAACAGCAAAGTAAGCTTACTCTATTACAATTCACATAATTACTAACCCCATTATTTAAGATACAAGCGGCGCATTCCAACGAAGTGATGACGAAAGCCTGGATCACGGAACAAGAGCACAATCATCACTTAAAGCAGGAAGAAATACTCAGAAAAGCTCAGTACAAGAAAGACCTCCAAGATCAGCTGATAATGAAGGAGAAATCGAAGCGATATCTCTACGAAGAGTATCTCAGAGAGAAGAAACTCCTCGATGATGTAATAAAGAGAATACATGACGAGGACGAAAGGGCTCGCTTAGACAAATTCTGTAATATGAAAAGAACCCAAAGAGAAATTGAGGCTTTCAAAGAGGCCCAGGACATATGGAAGAAGAAGCGTAAAGATGAAATTGACGAAGAGAATAGGAAAATTGAAGAATATCTATTGGAAGTTAGTGCTCGAATAGATGAAAAGTAAGAAGTGTACATAAAATATATTTGTTTTATTAATTTAAATTGTTATTTTAGAGCTATAGAAGATGCTAAGAAAGTAGAAGCTAGGGAAAAAGTACTAGATAAGATGGCTTTGGAAGTGGCCCAAATTGCTGTAAGTTAAATTATACTGTATTTAATTATATTTCGTATAATAATGTGCTTGGTTTAGGAAGCTAAAAAAGAAAGGGAAGCTATCGTACAAGATCTTATAGCAGAAGAGAAGCGATTGAAGGAAGAAGACCGGTATAAAAAGGAGCTGGAAAAGAAGTTTAAACAGAAAATCGAAACGAAGATGACACTGCTAGAGCAAATGCAGGAGGCCGAGGCGAAAAGAAGACAAGATCAAGAAGAAGATCGCAGATTCAAAGAAGAAGTTAGTAAAACCGTTATTCTGACAAAATTGTTCTAATTGAATGTTGTAAATGTTGTAGGTAATGGCAAGGATGATAGAAGAGGAAAAATTGGAGCAACTTTCGGCTCAAAAGAAGCGATTAAAGTTGATTCAAATGAGAAAGGACGTTGAGAAACTCCTGGCGGAGCGAAGGGCAAAACACGCTGAGGAATTACAATTGCAGATGGGTATCGAAAAAGCGTTCCAACAGGAAGAAGAACGGAGGTATTTACGTCATTTCAAATTGTACTTTCAAATCAATAATCACTGTCGTTTTTGTAGGAGAAAGATAATCGAAGAGGAGAGGATCAAAATGTTACAAGAACACGTTCAAAATCTCAGCGGTTATTTACCCAAAGGCCTGCTCAAACCGGAAGATTTGCCGTACTTGAGTACAGAAATAATACAAAGTTTCAAATCTAACACCAATCCAAATTACATACCGCCGGTACACAGAAAACGGTGATATAATCGTACAAAAACGAAATTTTAAATTAATTATACCATCTACATGGATAATAGTGATAATTTGTGAGGGCAACTATGTTTTTTATGAATAATAGAAATATTTTTAAATGGACTAGAAGTTCTAAACATCTAAGACATAACTCGAATGGAAAATGAGTGCAACTATGCAACACACATTACTTTAGTAAGGGGTTACCAATTGAAGGGTGCGCTCTAGAACGAATAAGAGGCACAGAATCTAAGATATCCCTTCTTGTTTGTGTTCCGTGGAATATAAAGTATTCAGAGCCATCTAACGATAATAGGTGGAACTAACGAGGAGAATACTGTAATTGCGAGAAGGAAGCCAGTAAAGTGGCGGCCCCAAGCGTGAGTTGTGATAATCAAACAATCCCATTCAAAAAACGGTTGCTACGTTATTCCCATTGTAAGATCCCGTCGGCGTTGCCACGTTTACGATGAAGTAGAGTCTCTTCCAAACTCGATTGGTAACAATTCTACAATTGGAATGAAATCGAAAGGAATATTGGGAAAGAGGGATTAAAGTCTAATTTGGAAAAAAAATGGAGAATGTAAAAATGGGTTTGATATAATCGGTACTTGTCAAAGAACCGTTAAATAGTGTTTGGATTGAGGATTTGGAAAAATTGAAGAATGCAAGAGCGAGGCGAGAGGCTCGAAGCTCGAATAAATATAATAGCAGGAGGAATTCCAGGCGCTCCAGCAGGAACGGAACGGCAACGCCGTCGTCACATGGCAACTTCCATCATACACGCCGTCGGCCGACGACCGGTTTTGAACTTGCCTCGCATCCAAAATGTCCGTCGCGATCAGCTGATGATGCACCTCTCCCATCTACGACCGAAGATCCGCCGCCGCCGTCGCGGTAATTACAGCCGGCCGTGTGTCGTTTGGCAACGCGCTGAAAAGGTGCCCTCTCGCAGGTAGGTGTTTCACTCCTGCCGCAGGTGCACCAATGAAACTCGCGTCGCCCGGCGACCAATGGCGATGTTGAGAGGATGTTTACCGCCGCCGGCCGAGATTTGTAAGATTTGTTGTCAGGAGTCTCCTCGCACGGTACGGGGGTGTATGACGTTTGCCTAGCAGGAAAACCGCTGCGCTTTCGGTAAATCGGAAAAGTCGCGCGACCGTGCGATACGTATATTATTTTTCTTCTCTCGTAACGTAACTGACCTACGAGTGCGCGAGTGTCATTGTCTAGTTTGGAGACTTGATGGGAGAGTATTTGAAAGAGCGCGTGGCTCGTTATGGGACCGGTGGCGGCGAAAGACAGGAGGAAACAAGCCAGACCGCAACGAAAAGGTAAGATTTACTAATCAACCTGTACATGACAACACCTAAAACCTATACACTTTTATACACCTGTACCATTTATATTTACAAACCTACTCTACATATAACGTATATTGTCTAAACGATTGTTAAAGTCTATTCTATAGAAACATGCGTCTATCGCCATGTTGCGAATACAGGGTGGAGGGGATGCGTTCCCATTCAAACAACACCTACTCCTCCTACTCCTTCTCTGGTATCTTCTCGGAGCAAAACAACGACGATAAATTAACATTTTTTTATCGCACTAAAAGGCATATACAAAGAAACATCGTTATTTATTCACCATTGACTATTTTTACCTCTTGATCGAGCTAATTAAACTCTCCTCATCGACCGGTTTATCAGCATCGCCGTTAAACGATCAAATGATTTATCGAAGTCAAGAAACTGTTGCCGCCGCAAATAAAGATAAAAGCGGTTCGCTCCGGTAATAAAAAGAAAACAAGCCCCGGCACAGGAACGAAAACGCCGAAGTCCGAGAAATCCGCTTTTGATTGACGTAATATTTATAGATAAAATGGTTCATTATCATCTTAGATGCATCGACTATCTTAATATTACTTTTATAATACTAACGCAATTGAGGGTCACGATGTGAACCAAGTCCAGTCCAATTTCAAAATCTTTGGTCGGAGAAAAAAACGTACAATCATCTTGATATTGCAGTAAATAATCTTGCAAAATATAGCTTTTTGAAAAGGTAAGTACGGTCCTTATTATAGTTCAATTCCTAACATTTTTTGGTGAAACTAATAGTATAAACAAAGCTTCTCTTCATAGAAAACAGGAAGGAATATAAACTCTATGGTTACAAAGGGTTCTTTGATTACACATTCATAATGAATTCATAAGAAAACTCACGTAATTACTAATATAGCACAGGTCCGAATTGCGCGATGCTCATATAACAGCGTTTAACTATTATCTGTTATTCTTCGGTGTATTATTTTGGTATTAGTCGGAGCTAATTTTCCATTTCGATACCGGGAAAGTTATTGCACGTTAAATTAAACGCGTACCTATACGAATTTCGCAATAAATTGGACAGGCGGACGCGATGAAGATAACGTTTAGATTTCGCCTAATATTTCAAAATAAATGACAAACGGCGTCGATTACAATTTACGTGTAATTAGTGAGATTAAGCACCGTTTACCGATTATTATTTAACGTTGCTGTAATATACACCAAATCCTAATAATACAATCGGTGTAATTGATGAATCCTCGAACGTTGATTTACTAATTTGAACAAAACTATTACATGAAAGTATGACCATTAAATGGAGTTATTTTAATTACTTGATAGTAGAAAGAATAGGCCGATTTACGAGCAGATCGGGTTTCGGTAAATTCGTGCATTTCACTGGATATCGATGGATTTGCGTGATCTGGTTTTTGGATTTCACCGATAGTTTACTTTAAAACCGCGGGAGGTTAAACAATCAACACCTCGATTAAAATAAACCTGTCATCGTCAGCGGAAAGTTTTTTTTTCGCTCCTCTTATACAGGATTTCCAGTTTATTTATATAAAAGCCGTAAATCTTTCGCAGTCATAACAAAACAGATTCCGTCACGGAACATTTATCACAGGTGAAATACTGTACGAGCTACCCGTTTTCATTTGTCGGGATGTTTCTGTCAAATAAGCGAAAAACCGCCGTGCACATATCCGTACGTGCAATGTGTGTGTATATACCTAGAGGTTTTATCAATAAACCGACGGTGATATTGACGCAGTCATGGTTTTTTTGATTAACTAAACACATCAAACCAAATTCCAAGAGTCGAGCTAACGCGCCTAACTGAAGAGCATTTTTAAATTCCCAATATCCGTTTGTATAACGGCATAAAACAACCATCATACTACATTAAGTCCCGAACTAATTAGATAATTGACACGATCACAATCCTCTTCCCTCGAAGTTGCGTAATTACCATTCGCGACATCTCCGTATCTCGGCCTGCAATGCTCGATGCGATTTTCGAATCCGATTTCGCATTAAGATAATCCACGGCAGCGTTAGTTAATGCTCTCCTGCTCTCCTTTCGCTGGATAACTTTCCACCGCATCCCAACGCTCCCTGTACATTCAGGTGGAACGTATAATAGAGGTGGATGGCTTTCAATTAACTTTCTTCCGTGCCTATGACAGGGTTGAACTTTCCATTATACCGCGGGAGCAAGTCGGATGTAAACTAGAGGTAACGTTTCCGTTAAAGTTGTTCGCAGGAAAGTTTGCAGGAAGTCAGCGAAAAATGGATAAGCATCAAGGTTCTTATTAGAAAGCCTATACTTTCGCCTTCGGGATAGTTATAAGTTATAAGTACTAATGTTAATAAACAAATATTTTAGTTACATTTTTATAATTGACTATAGTTTGTAAAATAAATTCAAAATAGGATACATCCCTGTAAATGTTACCTCTGCAGGGGAAGAGTCAAAGGCAGACGAGTAACTTACATTGTTACAATCTATTATGTACTTACCTAGTTCTCATCCGCGTATAAGTTAAAGTACGTAGTTCGTAAAGCGCACCATCTTGAAGGTTAATTAAACATAAATATAATAGGTGGTTTTGTCTTGGGTCGGGAGCGTAGCTTTCGGAGGTAAATTTCGCATTTGCAATTTAATCTTTGGAATTGTTTACGCCGAAGGGAGGAAGACGGCAATTACCAGCGGAAAGGGATGAAGTCGAGTTTTACTTTGAATTCGCTTTTAGAAATAGTTTCTTCGCTGACCTAAATACATGGTTAAACGCACTAATTATAGAATTCATTAATACCAGGTACACACGCTGTACGGTGTTTTAATGAACAAGAAAATTATTACGAACATTAGTAACTGTCAACTTCTAATCTCGTTTCGCTATTTCTGCAACATAAAAGATTACTCTGTACGTTCGGTTACTAATTGCTACAAGCAACGACCTACTATTAAATTTAAGACAATGTTACATCTTAATTTCAAAAAAAAAAATAACACTATTACCTAATATTTTGGAAATTTAATCATCCGACTAAGATTCGCAAAAATGTTTTTGATATCATACAAAGTGATCTTATCGAAAAATGTACAATGTATACATTTGTGTGCATATCGTCGGAATTGCTCCATAAGCTATTGTCCAATTTTCAAACAATGTATCCGCAGTATCTCAAATGAAGTAAGATAATCCAGAAAAGGAATTTCCTTTTGCGACGAGGTCGAAACTAATGAGCTATTAGATAACTGGAAATATCCGAGCCTCGCATATTTACGAGTCAAGTTTGACAAATATTAGAGGATGTTAAAAGAGTGCGGCGGTAAACAAACCAATTCGTTGAATTAAATTTGAAATTTACCGTTATTTTTCGTGCGGAAGGTATCTAACCCAATTAGGTATGGGATTTTCTTGGGAAAACAAATCGCGCGAAAGGATTTCGTCCGATAAACAATTTTATAATTCATAAAGTAACAAGTGTAGGTATTCTAACATCGCCTTTTTGCGGAATGGGCGATAAAAATTTGGAAGAAATCGGAGCGAAGAGGTACGAATTACAAATCGAATCTTCCGCGTTATTTACGGATGATTACTTTTTAATTTATCGGTTGAAAGGATCCCACTTCAGGAAAGATTTATGTTATGATTACGAATATAATGAGGAATGATTTTGTATTATAAGTAACAGTGAGTATCTCGAAATTAGATGGAATTAGGCTTTATAAGTGTAGGCGCTACAAAATCGTTTCGTTCTAAAAAGACAAAATATACTCACTAATTCTCTAACTAATTTGCTAATGTAATTCCTGCTAACGACGGTTCTGGATTAGGTAAAGTAATTCGAACGTTAGAGATACCTGTGTAGTATCTCAGGAAATGTAAGTCATCAAATGCACGTATTTATTAATAGAAATTCAGCGTTGTGCGATGATGAATGCGTATGATTAGATTAGTACCTAATTTCAGTGGACGTCAGTGACGTGCGTCATTTTTTTAAATAGTATATAGTTGAATTTCGGAAATACATCTACCATAGGTGGGACTCGACAAACAAATACGTAAATCAAACTAGAAACGAGATAGTTATTCATATAAAACCCGAATTAACGTTGAGAGCACTTTTATTGCATTTTTATTGTAATGCCGCTTTCAAAATCTCACTTGTTACTCGTAATATTTTAACCAATTCAATTAGAACAGTAATAAAAGACGTTTCGGTTTCGTTTACGCATTGACCTGATTTACTTTTACATGCGAGGCACCACTGAGTCGAAAATTTCGAAGCGCACATGTCTACCAGAAATTCCGTTTGTTGCTTTTATTATTGGGAGTTTTAATATACCTGAACACGAAGGCGTTTAAACCAATACCAACAAGATATGTATAGAACTTTTCATTCAGTTCGTGTTATAGGTTTATTTATACCGGTGAATACCTGGCGTGTTATGTTCGCGTTAAATTTAGATGCTCTTATAGTTTCTCTAGAAGATATCCAAAATTAGATACCCACACCTTTACTAAAAGTTTTTAAAAAATACTATATTATACTGGTTTATATGCACCTATACGAGAATATAGTAAATTAATTGTGTGCATGCCAAAAATTGAGACATAAAAATCAATTATGAACTAGTAACTTTTCCAGAAATTTAGGTGGACTTTACTCCACTAAAACCCCAGTATGATCAAATAATTTTCAGTTTTTCTCTAGCTAATTAATTGGAATTAGAACAATCGACAAACGAAACATTCCTTCTTTATTTTTATCTCGACGCTTTCCACGCACGACCGTGACAACAAAAGCGACGTTGTTGTTGTTGTCGCCCGCTGAAACTTTAGAAGTTTCTTCGAAATCTGTTAATTGTCACGGATTCCTCAAGGTGAAGTCGTGATTAATTTTTCCCCGAGTCAGCAGCATCTCCGGCCTCGACGCGACCAATAAAAAAAGCACCGACACCTTTGCCGTACCTTTTCTAAATAAAA